CTTCTGCCCCCTTCCTGCGATGCCCGTTAGTCATGCTCAGATCGACGCCGCTCCCCCGTGAGCCAGTCCGGCCCTTGATAGCGTAGCCCGCAGGCTAGCTTAGCCAACTCTCGTCCCCATCCCTTATCAACACCTGGCCTTGATCAGTGCTAGGTTCATTCCCCGGCCCACGGCATTGCCTTTACGCAGGGGTCACGCCGATCCCCTCTGTAACGTTCCAGACTCTCACGGATGTCCCGAAGGACTCACCCCTGGGCAGCATCCCGCAGGCCTACCACAGGCAGAGGGTCACTGCACACCTCTTCCTCGCCTGTGTCGATCGCGGCCTGTATGTCAGGCCCCAAAAAAGGATAAAAATAAAAAATAAGAATAAACAAAAAAATAAAAAAATGCAAGCCTATTACGTCGGGTCTTCCCATAGGCCGGGCCCGCCGTTGCCCCCATCAGCAAAAGCCTGAGGGGGATAGCCCGACGGACCCTTAACCCTCCAGCTTTCTCCTCGCTGCTCCGCTGCTCCCGCGTTGCCACCTGCTGGCCTCGAACCCAGAACCTCCTTGGCAATAGCCTTGCACCGTTACCATAGGGCTAAGCCCCAGCTTGGGATCAATGGGCGCTGCATACCATATAAAGTGGTGCAGCCCGGTGCCTAAGGCTGGGACACGCCCGCAGGCTCCTTCCCGCCTATAGACAAGCGCACGCCCGCTGCGCAACCATGCCGCCCGGCGTACCACCCCACCTGTCAATCCAGCAGCTGGTCAGCACGGCGAACGGGGATCCGCCCCCTGACTCCCAGTCTAATCGCAGGTGTCGGGTCGAGCCGGACGCCTATGCCGTCCGTACAATTAAAGGGGCAAAATCACACGCGCGCCTTAAAATCGCGCGCCCACTCATCCTACCTATTTAGATTACCCTCGCCCATACACAGGTAGCCATTTGAACACACAAGCCAGGACCATCGGCCCCGCTGTCACTTGCAAAAACCAGGGCGAATACCCTTGCAAGGGTATTCGCGCCGACATCGTTGCCGCTTAGACCATACCGTCTGTAGCGACACAATCATCGACCTCTGCCGCCCTTGCTGCTTCAACCTCTACACCAGGTGTCATCATCAAGGAAGTAAAGGGCGGCGAAAGGCTTGAGCCGCCCGACATTGTGTTGATAGTCGCGGTGCAAAAATTTGGACATCAGACCTATTTTTGCCTCGCTGAGACTCGAACTGGCGGAAAAAGGAAGAGAAGAAAAAGGGAGAGGGAAAAAAAAAAAGGAAAAGGGGAAAACATGAGGAAAAGGAAGGAAAAGGAAGGAAAAAGAAAGAAAAAGGAAGAAAAAGGAAGAAAGAAGGAAGAAAACAAGGGGGGTAACAAAAACGGAAGCGAGGTAGTGAAGGACGGGGGATCATGTTGTTGCACCAACAGGCGGGCCACTCGCTATCCCTGCTACAACCCTTGGTGTTCCCGTTCCTTTCGTCAACCTCTCCGACACAGAACAGACCGTCATGCCCACGGACGTCCTCGCTGCCATGGTTCCCGGTGAACTAACTTCGTGGTCTTGTTGAGCTCGTCCCTTACGGAACGTCCCTCCCTCGAAGGTACCCTCCTTCTTCCTTTTCTTCCTCGCCTGGTGGGAGATCCATCTCCAACCCTTCTCTGAACCCTGTATGTGTGTGTGTAAGTAAGAGAGAGAGAGAGAGAGAGAGAGAGAGAGAGAGAGAGAGAGAGAGAGAGAGAGAGAGAGAGAGAGAGAGGGCAGAATGTAGCCGAAGGCGAGCCCAAAATCCCTCTCCCACCCCCTCCACCCGCGCCCCAGCTAGCCTACGTCGAAATGCTGGCGATCGGGCGACGTCCCCGGTCATTATCCCGCCGTCCCCTTGATTACCTCAGCCTCCGCTAAATCGAGAACCGCCCGCCATTTCCCGACACCTAACACCCCTTCCCCCCTTCCTTCTTCCATCAATACTACGCTACTAGCCCCATTCGTGATGTCTTCCCGCACAAAGACTACACAATCCTTTGTCCCCTTTTTTCGCCTCCACATACTCCTCTTCAGCGTGGCATTGCGAGACTTCAATAACATTGAAGTATACTGCGTAATTACGGTGTCGGAGCAGAAACCCTTACAAGGGTATCTGCTCAGGTTTTTCAATGTCGGACGTTGTCCGACTTTTTCGTTAAATTGAGGGACTTGATGAGACTGACGTCTGCCAGAAGTTTATTCAGACTAGCCTATGACCGAGACACTATAACATTTTTACCTTAGCCCGGATGCTTGTGACGTCCGAGAATAATGGTGGTCATCGACAGTGTGACCAGTCGAATGCGGTTTCTAGCAAGGCCACGGAGGCACACTGTCGTGGGAATGTTAAAACGAAAGACCTATCCTACTTAAGCCGCGCGATTCAAGGCCCATATATGCTAAAAGAAGCGGGCGCGCTGTTGTCGACCGGTAGAAGTGATCCGTCGGCACGCCATCGAACCCTGTAGGGCCTGTACCTCGCACCGTGTCTGTCACCCACGGGAGGGTCGATCGGGGCTCCTGTAACCTGCAAAATCCACCACTGAGTCAGATATGAAAACAAGGTGGCTCACAGAAATGCAGAAAGAACGAGAGAATTACTTTATTCAGTCAATAAAGTTCAGCGCAGGCGCGCTACACCCTTTCCCAGGGCAACCTCCCTCATGCCAGTCCAGGAGTTCGGTTTATGTTGAGACTGAACGTGTCGGTGTCCTTCGTTGGACCCCGCAATCAACGAGGTGTTGTCGGTACCACTCCCGTAGGTCCCAGGGGATCGTGCTAGAGCCTTCCGAGTCCGAAGCAGCACCGCGACCCATTGAGGCCCGTTTTCTTGATATGAGTCCGGATTTCGATCCGAGGCCCGTTCGGCTGTAGGAAAGGACGTTCCCAGTTTGGTCTGGTCTGATATCATCTGGTCTGGTCTGTGTCCGGTCCGGTCTGGTCGTGTTCTCGTCTGGTCTGAATTGACCCACTCTGTCCCGTTCTGGTCTGATCTGATCAGGCCTGGTCTGTCCCGGGTCTCGTCTGGTCCGGTCTGGTCGTGTTCTGGTCTGGTCTGAACTGGCCCAGTCTATCCCGTTCTTGTCTGATCTGATCTGGTTTGGTCTGGTCTGATCTGGTCAAATCTGGATCTGGTCCGGTCCGGTCTGGTCTGGTCTGATCTGATCTGGTCAGATCTGGTCTGGTTTGGTCTGATATCATCTGGTCTGGTCTGTGTCCGGTACGGTCTGGTCGTGTTCTGGTCGTTTGAACTGGCCCAATCTGTCCTATTCTGGTTTGATCTGATCTGGCCCAATCTGTCCCGTTCTGGTCTGATCTGATCTGGCCCGGTCTGTCCCGGGTCTGGTCTGGTCTGGTCGTGTTCTGGTCTGGTCTGAACTGGCCCAGTCTGAACTGACCCAGTCTGTCCCGTTCTGGTCTGATCTGATCTGGCCCGGTCTGTCCTGGGTCTGGTCTGGTCCGGTCTGGTCGTGTTGTGGTCTGGTCTGAGCTGGCCCAATCTGTTCCGTTCTGGTCTGATCTGATCTGGCCCGGTCTGTCCCGGGTCTGGTCTGGTCCGGTCTGGTCGTGTGCTGTTCTGGTCTGAACTGGCCCAGTCTGTCCCGTTCAGGGCTGATCTGATCTGACTCGGTCTGTCGCGAGTCTGGTCTGGCTTGGTCTGGAACTAGTCTGATCTGGTCAGCTCTGGTGTGGTCCGGTCAGATCTGGTTTGGTCTGGTCTGATCTGGTCAAATCTGGTCTTGTCTGGTCTGATCTGGATCTGGTCCGGTTCGGTTGGGTCTGGTCTGATCTTATCTCGTCAGATCTGGTCTGGTCTGGTCTGATCCGGATCTGGTCCGGTTCGGTCTGGTCTGGTCTGATCTGATCAGGTCCAATCCGGTCTGATCTGATCTGATTTGGTCAGACCCGGTCCGAATTGGTCCGGTCCATCTGGTCTGGTCTGATCTGATCAGGTCCGATCCAGTCTGATATGATCTGACTTGGCCTGACCCGGTCCGATCTGGTCTGGTCCGTCTGGTCTGGTCGCAGCACCCATTGAGGCCATCGCAACGCTTCGTCAGACTTGCAACTTTACCCCCGCCATTTACCGCACTTGATTGAACCTCTTCACTTTGATGATCAGATCACCGAGCATAAATCACATTGCGCCAACGTCTGTCGAGACCATCTCAATGCTTTGTTTAAATTAGACAGTCGGATTTCCCTCGTCCTCGCCAGTTCCGAACCTCCCTTCTTCTCTCTCACTCTCTTTCCCCCCCTCTCTCTCTACTTTGCGCGCGCGCTCGTACGTAGATCTGCTCTCATCTCTCTCACGCGCGCGCTCGTGCGCAGCCTCCTCCATCTCGCGTGCAGCAACTCTCTCCTTCCCGCGCGCAGCAGCTCTCCCCGCGCACAGCAGCTCCCCTCGCACGACAACAACTTTCCCCGTGCACAACAACTCTCTCCACATGACCACAACTCTCCCCGTGCGGCATCCTCCTTCCCGCTCTGGCACTTACACTTGCGTGCGCACGTTCGCAACCGATCAGGTGACGAGGTGTTTGGCTACCTTAAGTGAACCATAGTTACCCCCTTCGTTTACCCTCGCTTTGTCTGCATCCTTTGGGACCTCGACGGTGCTTGATCGGATCGTCCCGTCCTGTTGGTCCTTAGTATCTCTCTCTCTCTCTCTGGCTCGCTCGCTCCCTAGCACGCATGTGCATTCGTCTGCGTTACTAATTAGATGACAGTTACTCCCGCCACTTTACCCACGCTAGATTGAATCGCTTCACATTGACAATTAGAGCACTAAGCAGAAATCACACTGCGTTCACATCCGTTTGGATTGCCACAATGCCTTGTTTTGCTTTAACAATCGGTCCCTTCGGAAATCCCGTCAATCCATCCATACGCACCACTAAGTAAATGACGAGGCACTCGTTTTTCCGGCGATTCATCCAAAGCCCGTTTCCTTAGTTGTGGTTTTGCAAGATGGTAGATAGGAACCGGGAATCTCGTTATTCCATTCGTGCGCGTCACTAATTAGATGACGAGGCATTTGGCTACCTTAAGAGAGTCATAGTTACTCCCGCCGTTTACCCGCGCTTGGTTGAATCTCTTCACTTTGACATTCAGAGCACTGGGCAGAAATCACATTGCGTCAACATCCGTTGGGACCATCGCAATGCTTTGTTTTAATTAAACAGTCGGATTCCCCTTGTCCGCACGAGTCTCAATTCTCTCTCCCACTTGCGCGCAGCTCGTTCTTTCCTGCGCGACAGTTCTCTCCTTCCCACGTGGAAGCTTTGCTACTCCACGCGACTTCCCTTTCCCGCGTGCAGTTCCCTGCTTCCCCGCTCCGCTTGGTTCGCCTGTGCAACTCGGTTTCCCCGTGTGCAACTCATATGCCATTTGCGCAGCAGTTCTTACCCCGCGGGCAGTTTCCCTTCGTCCAGGCGTCATCGTTCTACATCCGGGTGTGGCTGGATTTGCACCGCGATCACCATCGGTCTACTCACTCTCACTCTCCAACAGAAAAATCCCACGAGAAATGAAAGTTGAAAAAACATTCCATAAAAAAAATTTCCTTGATATTTATAAATTATCATTCCAATGTTCGTCCAATTCTAAAAAATTCAGTTTTATTTGATAAGTTCCCGTCTAAAAATGAGTTTTCCCTTTCAACTACATCTATTTGATGGAATGGAAGTGTGGACGAGTTTATGAAATGTCTTAATTAAATTTTTATTCTACTACAACAAATATCTTCTAATTTAGATTGGATTAACCTATTTATGACTGAAAATCCCTACTTAGAATGACAGTCCAATTAAAATATTTCATGAACTCATCTAGACTTTCATTCCATCTCTAGCATGCAGTCCAAATAAGAAGGGATATCCTATTCTTGGAATGAAAGTTTGCAAGTAAGATGAAAAATTTTAAAATTGGAATGACATTTTTTAAGATGGAATGAAAATTTGAAATTTAGATTGTAATTTTACTATAGAATGATTATTTAATTCTAGGAATTTTTTTCGTTGTCTGATCTGCGCGGGCTATCCTCCGCTCTTCCCGCACCCTTTACTGCCTTGCACGCACTTCCCTTACATTCTCTCTTGCTCTTGGACAGATGTCTCTTGTGTGTTGATTCTTCTCACATACTGATTGCTTTTGCGCCAGCATTCTCCTCTTGCACCTGTGTTCACTTCTCCAAGCTCTCCTTCTCTCTCCCGGTCGAGCGTGTTTTCTCCTCGCTCCTCCTCACACTCCCATTATGTTTGCGCGCGAGTCTTCTTAGCCCACTATCTCCTCTCACGCACTCTCTCTCTCTTCAAGCACGTCCTACTCACCTCGTCCTCGATAGGCTTACTTCGTAAGGGGCCACTTGGCTCCCCCTTTGGCAGTGAAATTGGTCACCGTGGCCAGAAAGCTGGTCTCGAGCTTCTTGCAGTGCCCGATCCTCTGATTCGACCTCACAGTTGTTCCTAACGACTAGATCTCCGCCTCCCTTGAGTACGAGCTCACCTTAATTGGCCAAGCGCCACAGTCGCGCGACACTTCGTGTCTAACTCCATGAGCAAGTTCCGTGAATGAACGGAGTTCCCTTTCCACGCCAGGTGCGTCGCCTAGTGATCCCCCCTCCAGAGGAAGAGTTCCCTTTCATATCCATTAGGCACCCAATCATACTCCAGCGCGCCCCCGTGTCTCCTCCATGCACGTCCGCCCTTGCTGCCACGTACATCCGCGATCAGGGCCTTCTGCCCCTGGTGGCCGTTATACCTGTTCGGGGCACGTACGTCTGCCACACCGTTCTCCGAAAACCGGTGCGCCTAGGGACCAACCCCCTTCCGCTCGCAGGTGCCCCTCCTTGCTCGTGCGTGTCTCCTCCGTTCTCAACCCTCGAGCACTTGAGAGCTGGCCCACCTCCTGTGTCCCCTCAATCCGGGACCAGTTGGGCTTATATAGTTTGCTGGGCCCGATTTCACATGCCTCACTGTGGCCTCAACCTCCGAAGTGTCGGGCGCTGTCGAGATACTTGCAGCGCCCCGGTACCGAGCCTCCTCTCGAACCTAGGTCCGGGCCCATTTGGGCCTCAAAAGGTTTCCTTGCGAAGAGGGCCTTTTTGTCGGGTACCGGGCCTTTTGCAGCGCCCTGGTACCGGGGCTCTTTTCGAGTCTAAGCCCGAGCCTGTTCAGGCTCTAGCGGTTCCACGCGAAAAGTATCAAGGCCTCAACAATTCCCGTGGGCCCGACCTTGGAAATGAACTCACGGTCTGAGGGCCCCTTTCCCAGCCTTAGGCTTTGTGGCCCCGTTTTGGTTTCAACCACGATTAGGATGCCAAGGCCTCAGGCACGCCCACGTAACGTTTTCTTTCTTCCCTGATCCCATGGCGAGCCTTGAGCGTCATCGACCTTTAGCCTGCCGTAAGCCTTGCCCTAAGAGCTCCGCGTTATATTTTGTCAGGCACATCGCCCTGCCCTCGAGCGGTTTCAGCCACCTCGCCTTTGTCCTCTATCTGGAACCTCCGACATTTCCTCTGTTGTCGACTTTAATGTCTTGTTAGCGGTGACCCGCATGATGCCCATAGAAGAAAGCTCACTTGGAGTTTGCGGGCCCACCTCTCCTGATGTCTCGGCTATAGCACTCGCAGCGTGGATCTGGTATTACAATTCTTCAACGTTGATCGCGGTTGCGTCAGGAAAAATAGCTAGATCTCTCTCACCAGGTGTCATCATCAAGGAAGTAAAGGGCGGCGAAAGGCTTGAGCTGCCCAACATTGTGTTGACAGTTGTGGTGCAAAAATTTGGACGTCAGACCTATTTTTGCCCCGCTGAGACTCGAACTGGTGCCAGTGAGATGAAGAGTCCACGTCCCACCCTATGGGAATGGGAGTGCGCTTGCATCAGGGGTCGGCGACTGTGTGTTTGAGTGGTGGGGCAGACAGAGGCCTACTAGGCCGCTGGTTGACTGTCTGCGCAGGGCACAACTCTTCCTAAAGAAGATCCCAATAGGTTTCAGCGCACGACTCTCACCCAACAGACACCGGGATCGAATCGCACGAGCCTCACTAAGGCTAGCTCCTTTTAGAGCAAGGTTAGTAGAAAGACATGAGGCGCCGTCGATTACGATCGCGAGATCCCCAAATCATGCGGTCGAAATCGGCTGCGCGAAGTTGCATGGCCCCTGTGGAAGGATAAAACACCCAAATTGAAAATAAATAAATAAATAAAATAAAAATAAAAATTATGTCGAATCCTTCGGGATTCAAACTCATGCCTGGATTTCAACAGGTCATGGATATGCCCACGTGGCGCCTGAAGGCTGAAAACGGCTGTTGGCTTTGAACCAATGAGGAAAAAAAAAAAAAAAAGGGAAAGGAAAAACACCAAGTGGCGCATTTTCGGGATGGCTAGGAGTTGAAACTCCGAGAACTCATATCTGGCACCCGTTTTAACGGGCTGTCAGACTTCCTTGTTTATATATATATATATTTTTTCTCTTTTAGATTCTCTTTACTTTTTTTGGGAGCCTTGCTCGTTTTTGTTCAGCTAGCGCCATTGCAACGGGCGCTCCCCCTACGCCCCACATGCGCAAAAAAAACAAAAACCATGACAATGTATCTTTCCATGTTCTTTCCGAATGTTCATTTATGCCATTGGTGGCTCTGTGCCTGAGGGAGCGAGCTGCCAACGGCTCCTCCCTGCTTTCAACGCCCGAGAGGGGAAGTTTGGGTGGTGGAAACTGGATTCGAACTCGAGTCTGCGTTTCGGCAGTTGGGGGAAAGAGGGTTGCAAGCAAGTGATACGTGGGAGGAAAAACAACCTTTTTGGGCTGTGTGGGAGCATGATTAACTCCCCACTGAGATAGGCGCGAAATTTGAGGCCGCGAGATCTTGGATCTCGCAGCTCATATTGTGTGCATGGAAAGGAGGGAGTTAGGGAGTTGGAGAGGGAGAGAGGGAAAACGGGGAGAGTTAGGAGGGGGAGGGCCTACCTCTCCCAACCTGCCAACCGCCCTTCCCGTTTTCAGGAGAGGGCAGAGGAAACTAAGGGGGTATTGTTTGAATTAACAACACGAACCTGGCTAGAAATAGAGCCAGGGGTGCTGCAGTTTAGGGGGTTGGGTTTGTTTTTCTTTTTTTTGCTGTGTTCTTTTATTTTTGCACCATCCTTGTGAGGACACTTGTCCTCACGAGGTACAGCCTCTGGCAGGAACACTGTAAGGCTCCCGTTTTTAGGGGGAGCCTGGAAATGGAAGACTCGTAGAGGAAAAGGCTAAGTACAACCTTTTTCCCGATGCATCTGCCCTGAAAAATTGGTCTAGATACATCAAACTGAAAGGGGTTGTAACTCTCCAACCCCTTATCATAAAAATAAAATAAAAGCACTTTTGGAAATGCCAGAACCTCAACTATCTCGTGAAATTCTGAGAATCCCGAGGAAAAGAAAAGAAAAATAAAACTTGGGCAGTTAAAGAAACTGCCCCACTAAGGCTGTAGCTGTCATGCGGCCACCGTTAGCCTTTGATCTCGGCCAGATCAAGGGTTCACTGTGAACCCTTGATTTTGCCTGGGGTCTGGAGTGACGTTCAACCCTCCTCGGCCACTATAAAACAGGCAGCTGTCCCCAACTACCACACTGAAAGCACTCATGCTGCCAGTGTGTGGCAAGCACACTTGAGTGTTGCTAGGCTGCTAAACTGCCCCACTAAGGCTGTGGTTGTCATGCGGCCACCGTTAGCCTTCGATCTCGGCCTGATCAAGGGTTCACTGTGAGCCCTTGATTTTGCCTGGGGTCTGGAGTGACGTTCAACCCTCCTCGGCCACTATAAAACAGCCAGCTGTCTCCAACTGCTACACTGAAAGCACTCATGCTGCTAGTGTGTGGCAAGCACACTTGAGTGTTGCTAGGCTGCTAGGATGCTAGGGGAGCTGCCAGAGGCAACGTGGGAGGAGGGTGGAGGTCTAAAGTCGAGCACGAGAGGAGGAGCAGGGCAGCCTTAGCTAAGGTAGGGAGCACTCTGCTCCACTTCCCTCTGGCTGGTGCTGGTCCAGTGGAGCGACACTGGGGACTCTGCAGGACTAAGGCGGCACGACAAGAGTTTGGGGCCTGGATTTTGTCCAGGGCCCAAAATCTCTATACATATAAAGGAAAACGCGGGTCTCGCGTGACGGTCCCACGTGAGACCCGGTCCCCTCGTGAGACTCGGCGTGCCGGTTCCACGGGCGGAGCACTAGCGGTTTGTTGAACCGCGCGACGCTTGGCCGTTCAAATTTTTTTGTTGTTTCCGTCCGCTTGGCCGTTCAAAATTTTTTGTTGTTTCCGTCGTGAGTGGTTTGTCGATTCGCGCGACGGCTCGGATGGGGTGCACGGACAGTGCAACGGTGTGGTGTTGGCATCGGAATGTGGTTTTCGAGTCCGGGGGTGTGTGCGGACGTGCATGCATCGGCGGGTGTATGTTTCCATGTTCGAGCCGAAGATTCAT